CATGAAGGGCTTTATAAGTGACGACTAGCGTCTTGAAGTGTATCCAAAGACCAATAGGCAGCCAGTGCAGCTCGCGGAGGATAACAACCAGTTCTCCCAAATAGGTGCCAATTGGCTGAATTCCACCACTGGTTGTATGCCATTAAAACAATCTTATCACCATTGTTTTCTTTTCATTTTAGATACTATACATTTCCTGTGAAGAACCGGAGGAAACAAGCTCACCACAGAACTGGGAAAAAAATCTTCTTTTATATGACCAAGTGATCAAATAAACTGTCCTCCACGAGATGTTTCCCCCTTGCTTGTATGGAGAGGCATTGAGGTGAAATGAGTATTTTGAGACATTTAAGTTCTTCATGAGTTCTGAAGAATTATATATGTCAGATGCTGAATTAACCCTTATGGCTGGAAGGAGAAACTGAAAGGAGAAAATAGACATCGATGTTGCCACGCTGGCATCCTTGAGCAAGAAGAAATGCACAAAAGCATAACTCAAGTGACTTATTCTGAAGATCTTCTGTGAAATTGTCCACATCCTCTGCCATTCTTCTTAGAAAAAAAATCAGAACAGACGCAAATGTCATTTGGTGTCTGTTGACTAAACTAAAGGTAAATGGTTCATCCTTCAGCTTTCTGGATCCCTCGTTAATCCTCAACAAGAAACAGAAATTAAATTTTTAAAAAGATTCAACGCCACAGAACATGACAACCACCTTTTCTGGAATGATGGATTCTAAGATGGGAAACCTGACCTTCAATGATACTGAACGCAATGACAATGATGCCATACATTTGGAGAGCAAAATGTATCTGCCTGGATTTCTTGGGACCGTAATCTACTCTTCAATCATTTTAATCTGTATTCCTGGGATTATTGGAAATGGAGCTGTCATCCACTTTTTGCGTTGCCAGATTAAGAGGAGCCATTTCACTGTGTACATCCTTAATTTGGCCGTGGCGGACAGCGTGACACTCCTATTCCTATTTATCTCCGCAATTCTGCACATGGCGATCAAAGATACGCTGATAGAAATCACAGAAGTTTTAGTATTCACTTATTGCACTGGTCAACTTCTACTGACTATCATCAGCATTGACCGGTGTTTGGCTCTCTTCTTCCCAATTTGGCATCGATGCCATCAGCCACCCTACCTCTCCACCATACTCTGCGCCATTGCATGGATCGTTTCTATCCTCTTCTGTGGAATTCATTACACTCTGATTTTGGTGAAACGCCGTCGGAAGTTCAGCCAATTTTATCACGTGTTCATCTATATCGCAGCTTGCATTCCACTCATGATTGTCTCCACACTGGCCCTCCTCATCAAAGGCTACGTGAAATCACAGATGCAGAAACGAAGGAAGCTCCTCATTGTCACCTTACTGTCCATGTTTTTCTTCTTCATCTTTTCTTTCCCACCAATTGCCATTTACGTTGTCAATGTTCTTTCCAGTAACCAATATTTCAATTTAATTACACTGGACTACTTATGTGCCTGTCTAAACAGCAGCGTTAATCCGTTGATCTATTTTCTACTGGGGAGAAGGAAGGAACATCATTCTATATACAACCTAAAAGGAAATCTCCAAACACTTTTCAAGGAGGAAGAAGAGAGCGAAGAGAAATCAGAGGTCCGCTAGCACCCTAAATCCTAAATTTTATATATATTAATAAACTTGATCAATTTTTGAATAATTATTATGAATGTAGTTTATCATGAAAATAATCTCCAGTAGTATTACAAGGAGCCATTTTGTCACAAATGAAATGTAAAAATAGCACACTTTGATGGGTCCAGGTATCTTGGCAAAAGCCATCATGGTCATAATTTGTCAGCCAGTTGCAAATCCATCTAGTGGTCTTGCTGTTTATCCCACATTTTTCTAGTTTATCAAAAAGTAGGTTGCAGTCTACTTTATCAAATGCCTTACTCAAGTCTAAGTATACTATGTCCACAACATTTCACTTCTGCTGACTAATTTAGTCAGTGTGTCAAAGAGTGAAATAAGATTTGTTTGCCATGATTTGTTTTGGATGAATCCATGTTGGCTTTTAGTTATAACTTTGTTTGCTCGTACGTGTTCCCAGATTTGTTGCTTATCTCTTCCAAGAACTTCCCAAGTGTTGATGTCAAGCTGATTGGTCTGTAATTTCATATACTCATATAGAAGCAAAGATACATTATTTGTAGTTAGCTATTCTCAAACCAGAAGCAACACCCAAGGTTTTAAATGACTTTAAAATATGAAACCACAAAGCTCAGAACATTTCCTTTATTTCCCAAGGTTGGCAACATGTCCACTTTTGTTTTTTATATGAGAGAAGAGGCTTTCATTAGGTATTTTTTGTGGCCCAGCAGGAGCCGTTGGAGCTGCCACCAGACCCCGACAGTGAGGGGCCCTATGAGTCGCCTCTGGAGGATGTGGAGGACCCTGGACAGGGTTCCGAC